TTTTCTTATATATTGAATATCACATTAAAAACCTCATTAGAATAATTAGTTATTTAAGAGTTATTAAGAAAATTACATATTTATTTCAACTGCCTATTAGTGACAGATAAGCAAATTGAATTTCATTGTTGCGATTAAAGTATTGCTTTTCTAAAATCTTAGTTTTTATTTCTAATATTACTCCCTGTGGGATCGATATCTAGGACTCCATTAGAGCCCTATATTACTTGAGCGATACGTATGCTTGTGTTGATAAGTGTGACTTTTCAATTATTGAATATTTATTACATCCATCTTTATCGAATCTATAATTTTTATTAAGTATTGGTACAGTTGCTGAGGAATTAAATCTTTTAGCAGCAGTATTAATAACTTATATTTTTAAGCATATATAAAGTCACTGTCATAAGTCTGACGTCTAGGTGGCTAGAGTGATGACAATAACGTTAATGTTTGCTAAAACAAGGGATATGAAGTGAGCTTTAAAATAATATCTCTTACCTTAAGGACCTTCAATAAAAGGAGAGGATAAGGACCAATGATAATTATCGTCAACTCTCTATGAGATTGTTGCCACCGATACTCCTAGGCTGTTTGTAATCCTAGCTCGATTAAAGTATTTAACCTATGGACTACAATACTTTGCATACTATTTACAGAAAAGTAAAATTTATTTTTCTTGTTAAAGTAAATTCTACATGCATGAAAATTAAATTAAAAATGAAAACTTATAAAGGTCCATGGTTAATCACTTGGATCGAGGTTAGAACTACCCTCCGTAGATTATCGGGTTGATAGCTCTTACTCAAGGTTGGGAAGCACACAATCCAGCTTTGTGCCCCTACCTTTACCAATGTCTTACACTTATTCTCGATTTTTCATATGCAACTATGGGTTTTGTTTTACTTACTCGTGTTTTCTTATGACTCATTTCTGGACTTTTCCCGTACCAAATGTTCCTATTTACTTTTCTATAATTTATTTAAATTTCCTACAAATATATTATGCTTTGTGAGATTAACCTTGTAGCGGTAGTAGAGGCCAGGTGCACATTTACATTTTATGCATTGCAATTTTACTTATTTACCTTACAAAATCTTCCATCGACATTTATTTACTTTATATGCAAAACTAAACCAAAACTGACAATCAACAAAACACATTTTAAAAATTAAATCTATGTTTTAAAATAATGAACGAACAAAACAAACTCCTTTTGGGTTTACGAGGATTTCTCGAAAGAGGTAACCTACAGTTGCTAACGGGAGTTCTCCAGTTTAAGTGAGCTTAACAACTCATTTAGACTAAGTAAATTCAAGAAAAAAATAGTGGTACCAGAATGACGGAATCGTAGGATCCTAACCTGCGTCACTCTAAATAAATTAAAATTCCCCTCTAAGGACACTTGAACAACAACAACAACAAAAAAAATTGACACTTAAACTCCAAAACTATAAAATGTCGAACCTGGAACCATCACAACAAGGAGTTTGGAACTAACACCATGGGCAACATTATAAGGATGTTCAGAAGAAAAACTTCAAGAAAATAAACAGATCTACGATAGAAAATCTTTTCTTATAATTAAATAACAAGCCATAGGATTTTGAGGTAGCTTGTCTAGTATGACATAAATCCTCAACTCATCTTTAGACCTTTGCACAAACCTGATGTGTAACATAAGCCCTAACTCACTTTAGGCTCTGAGGTTGTCATTCCAGGCTATTTGTATGTCTGTGTCATGAAAGTGTAAGCCCTAAATAATAAAAATTGGTAGGATGAAACATCTAACAATATTTCCTCAAAATTGAAAGTAAAGCATAACATAGTTTGGGAAGTTTTCGATGCTTGCCTCAAGATCAGTGGCATACCCTAGTTTTCTCACTTCAGATTCTGAAAATAATCATTTCTATTTGATCTTTTCCATTTGATTTCTTTTGTCCAACCTTAAAAACCCTAAACTTTGAAATACTTGAAGACAATATATTATGTTCTAAATTGAGAGTTTTCTTAGGCAATTTTGATTGTCTAAGATGTAATTAACCATAGGGTTTGCCCTAAAAAGAAACTTTAGAACCCAGCTTAATATAAAACTTTATCTAATCTCTTATAATAGATAGGGTAATTTGTCGGTCAACATAAGAGTTTCACAACTAAAATGGATGTCATAAATCCTCTAGTTTATTTAAACGAGTTTCACTATCAAGTAATGTATCTATTCCCCAGGATAGATGCATGGCTTCTAGTGTTGTGCTCATTTATTTAAACTATTGTATGTATGAGATCAGTTAGATCTAAGAATTTCAAATTTTAAAATATTACTTTTCAAAATTATATATCTATATTAAAT